GAAGTGGTGGGCTTTTGCCATCAGCTTGATGCACCATGGCTGGTCTGCCTGGACTGGGCAGTCTTTTGGGAGGTGCTCAATGTGCACGCGTCCCCGGCGAGGGATCAAGTGCCTTCTTCCAGAGCAGTTGGTGCCGTGGGCTGCTGTGGTGGTTCCGGTGAGCTTGGCTGTGGTGGTGGTGCTTCTGCATTGGCAAGCGGGCATCGGAGGATCCATAGTGAGCCGAGGTCGCTGTCTGGGTGGTGCCATTTCATGTTCTGATTCTGTGTCCAGAGCAGAGCCTTCACCATGCTCATCTTCTTCAACATCAGCCAGATTCTGGCGATTGGTGCGCTGGAGGTCGTAGAAACGAGTCACACCTCGAGATCGGAGCTGGCGCACTGTGTTCAATGCCTTCTGGGTGTCATCAATGGCGTGGTTGAAGCTCTTCACATCGGCTCGAACATGATGTGGCGCACAGCGAATCAACTGAGATTTGAACGCGAGCCAGTAGACAGAGACTGGTCCATCAGCTTCAGCAGGAGGTCGTCTCTCTTTCATCACCACTTGCGCAGGCCCAAGCCAGCGAATCTTGACGAGATCTGGCTGCCTGGCATCCCGCCAGAACCAAACTTGTTGGCCCAGAGCATACTCAGCGTTCGTGCCCTTGTACTTGAGGGTCAAGGCACGACGCAAGCGGCGATCGGCATCAGTGCAGCCAGGGCGCTTGGAGAGCATGTCCTCAAAGGTCTGGTTGCCGCCAAAATGTGCCGGTTGCGTGGCATCTGAAAACAAGTCCCCAGCCAAGGATGGCTGATAGCCCAGCACCCATTGCGACGGAGAGAAGCCGGCCACACCAGGAGTGCTGTTCATCTGCGGGATGATGTAGCTCAGTGCCTCTTGGATTCCTGAGGGTCCATCAGCAGCCATGTCATCAAGGTAGACCTCAACAGACTTTCTGATCACTGCATGACGGCGTTCGACCAGTGCCAAGCGCTCATGAGCGTGCGCCGCTGTCCATTCATCCATCTGGTTGCTGAGCCAACCACGACCTTCATCAGTGAGCAGGGTTGCAGGTGGCCCGAAATGGGCAATCCAAGCACGCTCCAAAGCTTTGACATAGTTGTCGGTATGCTCCGAGTTGATCAACACTGCTGCAGTGTATCGGGCGGCACTGTCAACAAAGCTCATGATGGCATACTTTGTGGTGCCACGTCTCAACCACATCACGTCGGCTTGGAGGACATCGTTGAAGTTGAGCACAGTGGGCAAAGCGGCCGGTGCAGCCTGAGATGGCCTCTTGTATTTGGCACACGCAAAGCACCTGTACGATCTTGCAGCTTGAATGACGGCTTCTGAAGCTCCGCGGGCTTCCAACAACTCGACCAGAGCAGCTGGTGCAGGGTGACCAAGGTTCCTGTGAAGTCGTTGCACTGTGCGGATGGCATCCTGCTCGGTGTGACTTCGAAGACGGATCAGAGAACTTGTCGTCTCCGTCTCATCCTCAGCGGCAAGGCCAAGTTCCCAATGGATGGGAGGTTCGTCAACTGCCAACGCTGCGGCCAGGGTTGCAGCTAGTGCAGGCTGGTACTCTTCAAGGTGGCGAGCGCGAGATCCATAGCCTGGTGCAGCTCCCTCCAAAGGACAGCGTTCGTGGTCACCCTGACACTGGAGGGTGAAGGCATCTTGAACGGCCTGTTTGGTCGTGAGGAAGGTAGTATTCTTTTGCACTGGCTTCCAAATGCCATCGGAATCCAGACATTGAGCCCCGTTTCCAAATGCCATCGGAATCCAGACATTGAGCCCCGTAGCGGCATTGAGAGAAGTCGGCTCGTCTGCCAGGCAAGTCACGAAGGCTCGGGTTTGCCAGGATAGCGCATGCTTCGGCTGCTCGATGGTTGCATGTCGACCGCCCTTCAGCTGACATAGATAGCCCGTCGGGTGAACATGAGGTGCCGGTCGTGGTGATGATGACCAGCGGCTTTCAGGGCTTCTTTCTGTGCAGGAGTCTGGCGGCCAAGTGATTGCACGCGACTCCACAACTTGCACTCAGGCGCAATGAGCAGCTCATCAGGAGCTTCTTCTTCCAGCAGGGCCAAGAACTCATCTTGATGTTTGAGTTGTTCGAAGTCCCAGCCGGTGTCGTAGGAGAAGCATCGGACTTCCATTCCCAGGGCTTCAGCCGATGTCCATGGTCTTCAACTCATGACGGCGAAGAGGCTTGGTCTTCTCATCACCGGGAGTTGCAGCCTTCTCAAAGGCGGTGAAGCCACTTTCAGCCATCATGAAGTCGTTGAGCTTGTAACCTTCATCCTGTTCGATTCCCTGGTCATTGGTCCTCAGGACGAACTCAGGTCGCTCGGGGTCGTAGTTGATGCTGAGGTGCTCATTGGTGAGTGACCAGAGGTATTCACCTTGTCTTCCCAACGTGGCCGGCATCCATGGTGAGCTGCCGATCCGTAGTCGCCTCTGGTGAAGTCCATGGTCACCCCAAGTACTTCGACGATCGGACGGCCACAAAGCATTGGCATATTGCCAGGCAGCAGGAAGAGTTCGATGGCGCCGTACTTCCCATCCACAAAGGTGGGGATATGAGCAGACCAATCTGAGCACATAGATGCATCGCCTCTGAACTGGAAGCGTCTTCGGCCTTTGCTCATCTTGATGACTTCAATGGGGAAGTCCAAGGTGCTCAAGTGGTCCAGGTAACTCCGGAAAGGCCCATAGCCAGACAGGAAGGTACTGGCTCTAGGATCACGCATCACACATTCTGGCCTTTCTGCACCGTTGGAGTCCTGGAAGATCAGGAGGGCGCTCTCATCGATCTTGCGCTCAAGTGCCATTGCCTCGGTCGTTGATGATGCCGGGCGTTTGGCAGCAGGTGTGCGTGTAGTTGGGCTCGATGATCCTTGTGGGCAATTGGCTGCCCAGTGGCCGGCTTGGCCACATCGGAGGCAAGTTATATTTGCTCTTGCACGCCCTTTTGGATCTGATTTGCCAGCTCCTTGAGGTGGATAGCGGATCGTGGTCTTCGACTTGCCACTTTTAGACCCGCCCTTCCCTTTTCCTTTTGTCCGCCAGGAGGCACCTGAAGCCGGATTGGATGAAGATCCTCCCTTGGACGGCGAGACGTTTCCTCCATCAGTCAGGGCAACGATGGGAAGGTAACCTCGAGCTGTTTTGAGTTCTTGGAAGCGACGACGGGCGTCCGTGTAGGAGGCGAAGGCAGCATCATAGGCGGCAGCCATTTGTGAAGGGCTGTTGACCTCATCATTGTCCGGCCAAGGTTCTTCTTCACCGTAGTAGCCAGCATCGTGGTCAAAGTCTTGGCCTTCGTCGTAGACCTCATAGTCCTGGGTCATTGTTCATCCTCCTCATAGTATCCAGTTTCCCATACATCATCATCTGGATAGCCCTCGTCCTCATAGTCATCGGCCATGTAGGCTCTTTGCTTCCATGAGTGCCCACCACCATAGCGGCGATTCCGCTCAGCATTCCAGCTACCTCCCTTGTAGTCCTGGCCAAGGATCAGATGGAGAGCCTCAATCACCGCGTTTTTCTCCAGGTTTGGTGCTTTCAGGGTGATGAGTTGTCTTTGCTCTCGTGAGAGGCCGGAGCGGCGAAGAAGATGCCAGCCTTGAACCGAAGCTGGAAGCTCGATACGGTGCTGTTGCAGCTTTCTGTAAGCTTCTTCGCGATTGGCCACGTACAGCATCAACGTTTGGCCTGGGGAGCGCTGCAACAGGTTGAAGTATGCTTCAAAGTCCGTGGGTAGCTGTACCTTGGCCTCGTAGGCGAAGTTGGCATCTAAGGTCTCAATGACCTTATTGAAGGCGTTTTCTTTTTCCAGTTCTTCGATGCCCCGATCTTGAAACAGGCGCCAAGTAACTCCAGTGAAGGAGCCCACGATGTTGAACACACTTTCACTTGACCGTTTGGTCAAGGACATCTTCCGGTGGTAGAGCTGAATTCTCTGCCTCCATTCTCTGTAGTCGGCCGGCTGGCCGGAGAAGATGGGCACATAGCTGTCCCTCAAATCCAGGTAGGAAGTGCCATCTTGTGAGCTCGATCCCGATGCCTGCGGCTTTTCTTTCTTGGGTCCAGGAGGTGGCATGTAGCTGTTCACAGGGACAAAGGGCTCTGCTTAGATGTGGCGAACAGGTAGAGGAGGAATCCACCAAGCCAGAGCGAGAACTGCTACTGCCAATCGTGCCGCGGGTCTCAGCCGGGACGAAGAGCTCGTGGTCGCGAAGTGCGCCGGTAGGAAGCCCGCAGGCTCCGCTACCAATGTCGAATTGGTGAAGCGGCTCACGAAGTCCACTGCAAGGAAAAAGCGGTGCGCGAACAAGTTCGAACACGGGGTGGCAACCTAATGCCGCGGCCGCAGCTATTTTTGCGCTTTGAGCCCGCCCTCTGTCGAGCGGATGTCTAAGGTCCAGGCCAAAAAGAAACGTGACATGACATGTCAACTTGATGTTCAGCGAACATCTTCACATATCTACTCTTTGTGTTCGGTTGACTCAGCCAACAACACTTTGCGCTCGTGGCACAACAGCGTTGCGTTGCAGCCCTCCCTCCGCGTCCCCTTGATCCTTCCACACCCCTCACTTTCGTCCCCACTGTCCTCAAGTTGACACAGGGCTCTTAGGACTATCTTGCAGGAGAATAAGTGCCTTGAAAGTGATGCGCGTGTCAGTGGTTGTCGAAGTTGAAGAGATCGTGTCGTAGAATGGTTGACTCAGTAGAGCTGCCACCTAGGCAGAGTTGCAGTCAAGCCAAAAGACAATGTTGCACCACGGCCTCGGGTTCTCGCATTTGGTGGAATCCCCAAAGGATGTGTTTCCAGCACTGAGTTTGTGGGGCGCAGCAAACAGCAGAAACCAAAATTAGAAGAGTCACAATGTTTAGGAGCAAAGAGCATCGCTACTAGGAGCAAAGGGCATCGCTACTAGGAACAAGGACGCTACTAGGGGCTCCTGGCCATACTACTAGGAGCGCTGTTTGCTACTAGGGAGTCAAGTGGGGAGTCTTTATCCGAGCAGCCGGATCTACGCAACACATCGGGTCGCACTTGAGCGCACAACTCCAATGGAGCAGGTGAGCAGAGGGCAATGCTCGCTGCTTAAACTATGTGGGCATCGCGGCCTGACGAAACTTCATCAACTCAGGCTCGAAAGCGCACAAGATTGTTTGAGGATTTTCTGGGGATGTGATCAAAGATTTGTGGAAACACTCGAAACCCAGGGACAACTAACCGCATGGTATCATATGTCAAGAAATTGTTCAATATTGTTTTACAACACGTTTGAGAGCCAGCAACCCCCACATAGTTTGTGCAGGCTGCGGTTTAAAAAGAACATCCACGTTTTTCCTGATGCAATGCCAGATTCAACTCCCCCACGAAAGCCTCACAGTAGCTCAAACTCGTCGGTGCATAGTAATGCCGAAAAGGACACCGGCACTGTCACACCCTCCTTTTGTCCTCTCACAATCGGAGATGATAAAACCCATCAGAAATGCCGAGTGGAGTCACAATTGATCCCGTTAGTTGAAGTTCCAGACTGCTCCTTTGTTTGGCAGACTTTCCAAGACGTTTGAGTGGCCAGAACCAGCCCTGATATCCCCAGTCAGGCCTATGTGGAAATATGGCTCAGGTCAATATGGATGAAAGTGACTCCAAATGCATGTGTTGCTTGAAAAACGATACCCATGACATGGGAACTATAATGCACTCACCTAATCCGGATGGCTTTCAGCCAGACAAAAAATTTCGCCATGGCTATATGCGCAATTCGAAAGCAAAATCACTATGATGCGCAAGGTTGCATCCGCAAGAGCACTGGAGCTTTGAAGTTCCAGACTGCTCTTTTGTTTAGTGGGGTGTCCAGGACGTTTGAGTGGCCAGAACCAGCCCTGATATCCTCAGTCAAACCTATGTAAAAATTTGGCTCTGGTCAATATGAATGAAAGTGACTCCAAATGCATGTGTTGCTTGAAAAACGATACCCATGATCGGACATGGAAACGATAATGCACTCACCTAATCCGGATGGCTTTCAGCCAGACAAAAAAGTTCACCATGGCTATATGCGCAATTCGAAGGCAAAGTCACTATGATGCGCAAGGTTGCATCCGCAAGAGCAGTGGAGCAAAGTACTCAAGAGGCAGCGCCGTAAGCGCCCTGTAAGTAGCGTTAACAATCTATGTGACACAGCCGCATTAGCAATGACATGCTTTGGCCAAAGCTCAGTTGGTTTCAAACCGATTGTTGAAGCTCATAGCCCACTTACATAAACCAAAATCCGTTCTTCACTTGCTTAGTGGGTGCTTAAAACAAAGTACCAGCTGAAACTTTCCCATGCTAGGCACCAAAGAAGAGCCTTTTAACGCACTAGGAGATGCATAGTTGCATGTGCGCACTACATAGAGGAATAGAGATGTTTATTCGCCCCAGCATGAGACCTGTTGAGTTCTACGATCTGTTTCTTTTACTTCGTTTTTCCAAGTGACCAAGCGTGATCCCAAGGTTGAGATCACTTTGTGTGAATGAGCAGCTTCAGAGAGGGCGTCGTGAATCTTTTTGGTGCTGGTTGTGTTCATCCTTGCATCGGACCTGCTAAAGTGATGCTACAACAATGCCACGATATGTTGTGTGTTCAACTCAACTCGGCAAGAATGCCATCATACCCCAGAGAAAGCATGTTGATCATTTTTGGACGCTCTTGAATATCCAGACTTCCATTTGCCCTTTCGTGTTTTAGCCGGCCCAGCACAGGTCACAAAGACTTTTTTGTTCATTTCTTGCGGTTAAGCAGCTGAAGCATCGTAGGTGTTTCAACTTGTTCAGTTCACCGTATTGCTTTATTTCACATATAAACCCCTTGGCATCTGGAACTCACTTTACCGCGCGACTTGCCCAAAAACTCGGCAGTTTAGTTTGATGTCAAAGAAGTCCCCTCCTTGGAGGGGCTTAACTTTCTGAGATCCAAAGACAACTTACTAATTAGGTTGGAGGCCATCGCTATTAGGTTGGAGGATGTTGGAGGCCATCGCTAGTAGGTTAAAGCACTTTGATAACGAAGCTTAACTCTAAAGTGATCACTGTGGCGGTTTCCACTGAGACTGACTCGCCCCTCACGCCCAGGCCTCTTTGCTTTTGCATTCCTCCTTTGTGCTTTGTGCCCCCCAGGCCACACAGCTTGGCACCTCACTCGGGCCACGCACGAAGCCATATGAAGCCTGAAGTCTTTCGTTTGAATCAAAGAAATCATCTCGTTTTGCATTCTTGCCGCTCTGTCGCGCGTTGTTGTGCTGGCGAGCGGCCAAAGAGACCGTTCGCCCCAAGACGCAAATGGCAGACATCGCTCTGCAGTGCTGTTGCCATGCGGATTCGATATGGGAGCTTGTCCAAACCTGTGCGCAGCTTGAGACCGTTGCAGCCCTATCATTGCCTTTTGTGGTCACAAGGCAAGTTGAAGATGTTGAAGTTCAGCTTTTCGGTGCTGAGAAGTTCAATGTGCATCAGTCTCTCCATGAATCCAAATGACCCATCAAAGTCCATCAATACTTTTTGGAACCAAGGTGAGGATGCTGGTTAGAGAGCTGCAAGAGATAAGGAATGAGTTTGGTTGACTCGGGCCGTCCTTGAAAATATGTTCCAGCGGCACACCGCTCATGCATGCCCCTGGGACTCAGTTCTGGATTCGTAAGTGTTCAACTAATGCTTCTTGTTCCTAATAGCGTCCTTGCTCCTAGTAGTAAGGCCAGGAGCCCTTAGGAGCGTCCGATCGCTCATAGACTCATAGATGTCAATGTGCAAGGAATGAAGACGTTGATCTTCGGTCGAAGCTGCTTGGGTGTTGTACCCTCTTTTGCAGCCAGAAGTCGGAGATGGGTTTGTTGGACCAAATCAATCGTTGATTTGCGCGGGGTCTTTTCTTGCACGGTGTTCTTCTTCCCACATGAGCTGAGGAAAATCTCGTGTTTGCTGGTGTCTTTGGTCCAGTTCCGCTGCAAACCGGTCTCAGTCCCCCAAACAGAAGACTGTGTTGCACTGGTTTGGGGCTTGCCAGGCAGCCAATAATTTCTCAGGTTTGCGTTCAGGGATCATAGCCACGACACGTTCGTGACATGTCGATAGCTGCTGATAGCTATGTAAAGGGCTTCAATCACCTTCTCCCATGTAAGCTCAACTTTCACTGGTTCAGGACAATGAGTCATGATGCTAGTTCTTTTGATCCTCTAGACACAGAAGGAAGAGATTGGAAGAGGGGGTCAGGTTCTCCTTCACGCGATGGCCTCCAACCTAAGAGCAATATTTCTCCTTCATAAGAACATATGCCATGCGCCACCCCGCGTACAAGCTGGGCGCAAGACTAGGTTGTTTGCGCAAGAGAAGAATTCTTCCAGGCTTGCGGCGTGGGACATCCGTTTCTTGGTAGCAAAACTCCGCATCTGACTGAAATGATGCCTTCGTAGTCCGTTTGGAGGGTGCGCTTGGAAAAGGCTCCCAGCTGGGCACAAAACAGCTGTCACCAGGTGTTGCTTTTTGCCGTGGTGACAGCTGTATTGAGACGACTCTGTTCTGCGCTGGTCATCCGGATCACGGGCATCTCCGAGTCAAGACGTGTTAGTCACCCTCAAGTTTCAAGACATTGCCTCACAATCGTGTTAACCGTGTTTTCGGTTTTTTCGGTTTTGATGTGGAAAAGGCATTCCGCTGTACATCTCCCACTTTCATCCTTCCCACTAAGTTTCAAGCAGTTTCTAGCCCTGTTGCTACCCATGGAGGACGCAAACCTGTGATGCGGAATAGTAGTGCTTCCAAGCTTCAAGTTACTCTTTCTCAGAGTACTGTTTCGACATGTTGGGGAAGCCATGTGCATAGTTGCGTCCAAGCTGTGACATATGTGGAGCATCAAGATTCTCTTTGGAAGTTGGCCAGCTGTAAGCAAAAGCCTGGTCTTGCTCACCTGCCGTTTTGGTTCCTGTGCTCTCAGGGCAATGCAGGCAGAAGTGCCCGCTGAGTCTTCCTCACGCAGTCAGCTGCACCTGAATGCAAAATGCAGAGTGATGGCCAAGGCGGATGCCTTTAAATGTCCCCACCGTGCTCTTTTGCAAAGCCACACGTGGCCTCGAACGTCATTTGGCAAGTCCCTCCGCAAGGGATTCTGTGACCCTGTTCAACAGCTGCAGAGCTCAGATAATCCGTTAGTCGTCCACAGGATGTGGAGCGAAAAGACACCCAATCGGTTGAGTCGTGTCAGAAGACTGTCCTTCCCACTTGTCCAATTTGTTTGTTGTCCATGTCCTCTACGCTCCAATGCGCAAAGCGCAACTCTTATGCCTATAGCTGGGTCCAAAATGGCTATAGCTTGGAACAGAGTCGCCCTTGCGCTTGAAACTTCATCGGCCACTAGTTGACCATAAATCGGTGGCGCACAGTGAAAGGGTTTTGTTTGGCACATTGGCCTGCCACCAGGTGACTTTTGAAGCGTGTGGAAAAGTGAATTCTGTGGGGTTGGGAAGAACGTTAAAGCATTTCCCATTCCGTTTTGTTCTCCAACCGAAACCCTCGGAGGAAACAGACTGCGCGAACACACAAGGACCATGGGCGTACGAGTTCAATGTACGTTCAGAAAAGGCGACAGATGACGCTCGATCGAAGAAACTTTAGGCAACAACTGGGGTTTGTTTAGGTCAGGGTGCAACAGAGCCATATTCATCTTCAAAGAACACCGCTGATCAATGGTAGGGGTCCGGTAATACAGAATGATTTATTCAAAGGGTTGAACATTGCATAACACCTAACACGAGTATGGAAACCCAACTCGAGTATCCTGTATCCATAATTCCACGCACCAGAAACATTGTCAATGGTCTTGGTGTACCCATGAACGAGGAATTGTGAAATATTGTGGAAAAACACATAAGTTCTGCAAGAAGTGTCACGCACGCGGAGTTTCGGCTCCGGACTCCGAAAAAGGGCACATCCCTTCGCCAGTGCCCAGGGAAAAGTTAGGCGTCGCGCTTCAGCCATGGCAACGTCAACGGAAATACTGTTGAAGTATGGAAGTAAACTGAAAGAGGGCTGTCTCGAGCATGACGTCGCCTGAGGCGTTGCCGGCTTTGATCGAAAACAAATCTCAGCCATCCTGGCCCGATTATGGGCACAGGGATTTTGATGGAAATACTTGAGTAGAGCAGCTGTCCGAGCCGAGGGATGGAGTTGGAGATGCCTTCACAAATAAACCATGATTGCTCGCATAGGTGCGCCTTTGACTTTCTGAAGTCCATCCAGGCGCCTACAAAGTCTAGCTGGAGAAAGGCGATCGATCCACGTGGGCACTTGGCAATTCTTCTCAACCACATATCGCATGACCAACCAGAAAGCCCTGGCAAGCAAGATGGCGCGCAACCGGCCTCACAACGCTCGCGGGTGTCCTTTTCAGGAAGATCCCTTCATGCTGCCGTTGGCCAACGGTCGGGCCAACTTAGAAGGATCCGGGGCTCACTCATGGGAACATGAGAAGCCTGCCCTCTGGCGGCAGAAACTGCATGACTCGTGATCAAGCTGCTCAACTGTAATGTGAAGATGTCATTGTGGACGAGCGTCCTGACCCTCGCTCTCCTCGGCCTCGCTTCAATTCAGGAAGGTAGTTCACGCTATACAGGCTGCCGGGCTGCTGGCGCTGATGAAGAGTCAAGTCATCTCTTCAACAGAGACATCAGCCCGGTCGCAGGGACGAGTTCGGGAAAATCGAAGAAAAGGGCACCGTACATGGAAAACCGGCGGAAGAGAGAACGCTGTGCGCGTGAAGGATCTCCAAGGCGTGTTCCTCGTGTGGCAGGTTACAAAGCGGGCTCCACCAATGGGTGATGCGTGCCTTTGAGCAGGTTTCGCACGGGTTGCTGAAGAAAGCGGCAAGCAGCAGCCCATAGAAATTTGAAGTTATACAAGTCACTGTCGGCGCGCTATCATGGATGCAGGCTACCTTTGGCGGCGACGCTCAGCGAACTTGCCTTGCCAAGGATGTCATACGCGATGGCACTGCAATGAGCCGGCGGAACTCAAGCGGATCATGGCAACGCTTGCCAAGTGGCTTGACTGGTGTACTCAGTCGGCGTGCCACAAATCGCCTGTCACTGTGCTCCTGTAGGTTGGAGCATGGCACATCCGCCAGTGTTGGGCCGACTCAGCTTACATTGTAGCGGAGTCTTCAGTTACCAGCTCCTGCGTTCCCCGCTCTTTTTCCGTCACTGGATTTGAAGCCACCTACCACATGGACGGGTTAACTTAGCTCATGTTGTTTTGTTTACAAATCATACATATTCTACTTACCGTGAACTTATCTCGTGAGATTTAAGCTGATTTATAAGTTGACTTATAAATTAACAAGCGTTTTTGGAAAAGCTTGTTTTTGCAAGGTTTTTTGGGTTTTTCACGTTTTTCAAATTTTCCAGGTTTTTCTTACAATAATTTTGTTGATTTTTCAAAAACTGTATTTTTGCTCATTTTTGGAATGGCAGCAAACCTTTGTTTTCTACAGCGGGCACACCGCCACGTCTTCAACCTTCTGCTATTGAGTGAACGCTCTATACCACATACCCTTTTGAAGATGCCAAGACTGAAGTATTGGTTCCTACACAAGCCACAAGCAATCCTACAGCGGAGGAACCGCCAACAATCCCACTGCGGAAGTATACCGCCGAATTGAACCTACAGCGGAGACACCGCCCTCAACAAGACAGCAAGACCTACAGCGGACGCACCGCCTCCACAGGAAGAATCTGTCACAGGAAGATGTCTGAGTCTATATAAATTATATATATATATTAACATATGTAAATATTTGTGCTCCACAGGAAGTACACCGTTTTTTGAAAATTGACTTGGACCTTCCATCCCAAAAAAGACCCGACTACATCTGACTACACCCCGACTACATTCTGACTACATACGTCGTCAGAACGAAGTCAGGCCCGACTACATTCTGACTACATACGTCGTCAGAACGAAGTCAGGCCCAACTACATTCTGACTACATACGTCGTCAGAACGAAGTCAGGCCCGACTACATTCTGACTA